AGACATATTAAAGGCTTTAACGCTTGTTTTCGACTCGCACTACTATTCATGATTGAACAAAACTTTTGGCAGGTACTGTATGAAAAAGTATGTTTAATGAACAAAAGTCGAGAGTACAATGAGCTTTTTTCTCCCTACCTACGATTTTGCCAGCGCGTATCCAAGACATTGGAAGGGGCACATCGCTAGAGAAAGTAAATGAGGTATAGTTAGAATTGTGACCTTGAAGAAATCTGCGCGAAGATAGAAAGAATACACACTAGGCGTGAGCAAGACAGAAATACCTGGAACAAGCTTGAATGAGCAGAACTCTCGATTCATCGTCGACTCCTACTTCAATAACCAAGTCTTCAATTACCCTATCGATAACTGGATCTTCTAATGTGTATGCATCTTCTTGCTTAATAACTTTTTGAACACTCTTTCCCATTTTTCGATAGAGAAAAATTCTTCACAAAGTTTTTTTACGTCACCCAAGTTAAAAGACACATTGCGTTCTGTAACAAAATGTTTTAGAGCTGCCCAAACATATTCAATGGGGTTTAATTCTGGATGATATGACGGTAATCGTAAAACATCATGACCAGCTTTTTGTATTATTTCGTCGATGTCGTAGATTTTAAACTTCAGCAATTTGATACAATTCTACTTTAGGCATACTTTCTTCGACATCTAAATGTCTTTTTCGTAGCCAATTCTGCATCTTTGTGTTTAACGAGTTCGAATTAGGGCACTTTCTTTTCGAACGTTGCGGTACGAGGCATTGTCAATAACTACAATTGACTGACAAATTAGGGAGCAGTTTTTCTTGGACCCACTTTCGGTAGTTGTTGTAGTTCATGTTAACATGATAATCGACTGTTTTTAAACCTGACTTGTAAATCAGACAGGCGTTTTCTATAAAAGCCATCTTGCCACCAGCATGAATAATAATTAATCGACTCCCTTTTGCTAGTGGTTGCAAAAGGCCTTCTGAAGTATCATCGGCTCATAACTTTTTGGAAGCACAATTTGAATATATATATATATATATTCATGTTTCATCCATATAAATAATTGGTCTCCCTGCCTGACGAAAAGCTCTTATTTTTTAAAAAAAAGCGACTCACAAATGTCGAATTTTGGTTTTTTTCCGCCGAAAACCAATTTTTCGCAATACTCGCCAGATACTAACTTTCGAACCACAATACCCCGTGTCGTCTTGGTATTTCTGGTGAATATTTTTCAGTGTTGGGATCATCTTTTCAGTAACATAAAAATTATCCGCCGTTCTCCTTATAACATCTTAGTCAAACTTGTCGAAGTCAGTTTTACGACGTAGGTGTCTCTTATTATATTTGGATTTCATAAAACACCTGGCCTCACTTTTTTCTTCTTCGAAGCAACCCTTGTTATAGTTGATAAACTTAGCCCGGTTGCTGCCGCTACACGACCTTGTACTTTTTAAAGTGGAAGAGTAAAACCTTTTTGTTCTTTTTCAGCGTTCATGAATTGTAATACATTTGCAACGAATTCTTTACACTAAATACTTAACGCTTGTTTTCGTTTTCTATTGTTTTCCATGGCAGTTCAAATTTTGCAAGTGGTACTGTACACTTTTGTCTAGTTCTCGGTGGATGAGCGGCGGAGAAATGAAAAAAAACTAAAAAAACTTTTGGGTGTTTCATTCCCACCAGCCAGTAATGCTGGTGGGCGGGCAGTCCCTCCGGGCTATGCCGGAAGGTAGGGGGAATGGGTGGGTGGTGGTTCGGGTGAGAAAGATGAGACGGACGAAATGAAGACAGAAGAGAGTGAAAGATTATCTGTGGAATATTACTGCCTCAGCATTTGCCTAAGTGATCCAAGGAAACCACAGAAAAACTTGGACCAAGGCAGACGGACAGACCCGGAATCGAACCGGCGTCCTCCCGAATGCTAAGCAATGGTCTAGACCTCTAGGCCATGCCGCTCGGAGAAATGAGCTCCGCAGGCAAATATAATTGCATTTGAAATTATGCTACAGCGCATTCTAATAAAGGGAAGGGGCATATCTCTAACTTCTTGAAATGAACTGTGAACGAATACTTGGGTGAATATATTCGGGTAATATTCCTAATAATAAAAAATGTTTTTTTACATAAAATCCAAACCCTAATGGTCAGGAACTACAAACGACTCACTTTCAGCTGATACAGCACTTTCGTCAGATTTGTTTCGTAATTGTTTCAGCACAGACAGAGATGCAGCTGGCCTGAAATTATTCTATATCGTAGTCGACGGGGGAATAACCACAACGCGACGGTAATGATGTTTAATGATGGTCACGGTGGAAGTGATGCTGAAGGTGATGATGAATTGACCATTACCTTAAACAATAGACAAACCTACATTTAGGACATCGTGGCCTGTTTGACGGGCACATTTTGTAATTGTTATTTAAAATATCACAGACGTTACTGAAGCTGTCATTCATAGTATTCATAAATTCATATTTAGGTCACTGGTAGAAAGTTGATACATCTAATGTAAGAAATAATTCTAAGTTTATTACTATTCGGGTTACAATAATTTTATTCACTGTTTACTCTTGCCCTTTCTCACACACCATCACCTTGCCAACCCGGATTATTCATTAGTGATTCCCCTCGTAATTTTTCCCGCAACAAGGACCTCGTCATCCTTCGTATTTCCTCGTGTGCCTCGCTATCGGCATCAGCGTTTGGCCATGGTTATTTCCACGGGATGCTAACACTAAATTGTTTATTTAAAACTGAAAGCTAACACCTACTTTTCTACTGTGTTAGTAGGTCAATTAGCTACCATTTAAATTTTGGAATTAATAATAAAGGAGTCGGGTCGAGAGGCGATAGTTGCGAGTCGAATTCAAGATCACGAAGATGAAGGTTGGTATATCCAATTTCTAAACATATAAACTTCGTTGCTGTATAACTGACGCTGCCCGGAACAGGATAGAGAAGGTGAAAATCTAAGAATTTAACCCCAACACCTCAGAGTTTCAACTTCTGCGACATACCTATACACATCAGGAACCAACATCCCTGGCAAAAACTTCCGACACCTGGAACAATGTTTCAATCACCTTCAGAATTCCTCACCTTCGACTAGACCATTCCTGACAGGACATTCCACTAAAGGATCAAGAATATTGGGAGGATTTTTAAACGTGAAAACAACTGCTGTATCTTCTCTTTTTTATTGTTCTCCCCTTTTCCTTTTTTGATTATTACACGACATAGCATCTCTAAACGAATTTTTAAAATTAATCAAAGCTTTCGGTGAAGTAGTCGTTCGATTTGATGGTTCTCCCGAAAAAGTAAATATGTTTATTTCGGATTATGATAATTTTGACGCGAACGTCTCTGCCACAACTCCGACCTATAAAAATTTAATATTTCAACACATTGTTAGCAAATTAACAGGCAGAGCAGAATCAGAAACCCTATTATTCAGATTTAAAAATAAGAAGGCCAATTTTTTTTCTCAAGTACTTAATTACTGCAAATAATTAGATAATGAAAACAAGAAATTAGAGATAAATAGGCAAATGGCAGGTACTTCCAAAAAGCCACACCCACAGAACACCATCACACAAAAGCAACCACAGACAAATTACTTTGTACCTCGACAAAATTTCAGTCCAATGCAAAGACAACCCTTTACCAACCTCCAAACCTTTCAACAAATTCCTAGACAACAGTTTCATTTATTAAACCGAAAAACTCCCACCAAACCTTTCATTGTGCCTAAGCCTCACCCGGTATTGCAACAACACAGGAATACACATCAAATTCATTCCCCAGAAACTCCAAATAAAGGCGACGTTTTTATGAGAACTATTTCCGAATTTAGGCGATCAAATAAAACCCAAAATCAAAGACCCAACAATTTCCAAAATCAACAACGACCTAATTTCCTTGTTGAAGAATTAACCAATGTTTGTGACGAGTACGAAAACGCTTATTTACCCGTACAGGTACAACATTTCGATACCGATACTTACTATGAACCTGACAATTTCACAGATGAAAATACTATCCACGAAAACGAAAATGAATACTTTCATACACAGGCCCCGAAAGACAAAATTACATAGATCTAGAAGAAATTAACTTAATTAAATTAATTAGTAAAAACACCTATATTGCCATACATTTACTCAAATGAATACGATTGGAAAATTTTAATTGGTAATGATGCTTCAGACTCTAGCAACCCTTTGAAGTTAAAACAGCCCACTGACAGACCAAAGGACAACACAAATTAACGTTCTTTTATTACACGAATTTGATAAATCAACATATATTGAATTTTCAGTTTTCGACTTTCATAAAACTTAAACAGTCATGCTGCCTTGACTAAAATGAAAGCAATTATAAATTATTCCAACAATACTTTGACTACTGAACACACACAAGTACATTTTCACGAGACCAGAAATAAAATAGTAGCGAACATCACTTGCAAAATACCAGTTTATTTACACAAAGGATCTTGTGTTATTTTCAACCACGAACAAATTGTATCAGGTATGTACAATGTAGATAACGGTTTCGCTGATGTGCAATGTCTCAATAATATTCACATCAATAAGCTAGACAAATGCGTTTACTCAGACAATGCCCCAATTGATGACAATTTAAATCAGAGCCGGGCAAACTCGGATCTTTTGCATCCCGAGTGATCCTCAAGGTTAACCAAGTAGCTCCTCATTGATCCTGCGAGTGCGAGTGAGATGATTCTTTCCTTTTCTTATCCCTTCCATTTCGTAGATGAGTTGCCTCTTCCATAGTCAAACCCAATAGTTTTGCGAACGTAGTAACGAAAATTTTCGTAGGTATTATTTAAGTTGCGAGAGTCGCTTTCGCTCGTCTACGGGATGAAGGGGCTTGATTTGGGAGTGGAAGGGAGAAGAAAAAGACAAAACAAAATTATTCATTACTGCTTACTCTCTCGTACTCATTGAAGGGTATGGAGTAACTCAAACTAAACTCATGTAGCGGCTCCTGCGAAGTTAAAGTTTGCCCGGCTCTGATTTAAATTGCAACGTAATCAAACAACTCAGATTAGACGACATAAATTATAAAGAAAAAAATAAAATTACAAAACTGTGCAAAGAATTTAATTAAATTTTTAACGACGATCAATAAAAATTAACCGAGACTACACAAGTAATGCATCACATTAGGACAACTGACGATTCACCCGTTTACCAAAAAAATTTCCGTTACCCCTAAAAACTTAAAGATTCAAAACCAAGTCAAAAAATTACTTAATGACGGTGTAATCAAACCCTCCGTTTCTCCTTACGCTTCCACTGTTTGGATTACTCCAGAAAAAATGGATATCCCAGGAAAAAAGAAATTACGCATGGTAATTGATTTTCGTGAACTGAATAAAAAAACAATTGAAGACAAATATCCTTTGCCAAGAATCAAAGAGTTTAAAATTATTTAGGAAAATGGACCTATTACTTTACTTTAGGCTTAACTTCCGACTTCCTTCAAATCCCTCTTTACAAAGACAGTACCGAAAAGACAGCCTTTTCTATTGATAACAGTCATTACGAGTACGTACGTATGCAGTTTGAACTGTACTACGTGACTTCTTGTGCAAATTTGCTTTCGTTTACATATACGAAATTGTCATACTTTTAAAATCACTAAACGAACACATAATACATCTAAAACAAGTTTTTCATAGACTAAAAGACGTACATTTAAAAGTATCATTAGACAAATCTGAATCTTTAAGAAAAGTTTCCTTTTTAGGAAATATAATCACTACCGAAGAAATTAAACCTAACCCCGCCAAAATTACTTCCATCAAAAAAATTCCAGTACCCAAAACTGTAAATGAATTGAAATCATTTTTAGGCTTGAGCAACTATTATCGAAAATTTATAAAAAAAAATCCAAAATTGTCATTCCCCTTACGAGATGTTTAAAGAAGAATACTTCAATTAATTTTAAAGACCCCTCGTATTTGGAAGCTATTAACAAAATTAAAGAACTAATTACAAACGCCCCTGTTCTAGCTTATCCAGACTTTAATAAACATTTTTCTATTACCACCAACGCTAGTGATAAGATGATAGGTTCAGTTATTTCCGAAGAAGGGCGCCCCATTGCTTTATACTCTCGTACCCTTAATACGACTGAAAGAAACTACAGTACTACAGAAAAAGAATTATTAGCTGTAGTAGACTCTTGCAAACATTTCAGGCCCTACATCTACGGTAGGAAATTCACTCTTTTTACAGATCACATGCCCCCTAGTTTGGTTGCAAAACCTCCAAGAACCTAATAGTCGATATAGCCCACTGGAAAATCAAACTTTCGGAATACAATTTTGAAATTAAACACATTAAAGGTAAAGAAAATCATGTAGCAGTTGCGCATTCGCGAATGGAAGTAAACGCCCTTGCAGAAGACGACGATTTAGATTCATTATTTGTCAACCCCTGTTCAGATCATGACTTACGACTTTTTATCACCGAAGAAGCTGATAAACATCTAACACAATTATCCAAATTAGTTGAACCCAAAAATGACAATGACGATTTAGTCACTGTACAGTCGAACCAAGAAAATCCTGTACCCATTATGAAATTATCAGAAGAGAAACCCCTTCAGGTTTTCCCTTTACAATTCACGTTGAAATTAGGAAAACGAAAATTCACGACAAAAACACTACCAAATGGTAGATTCGGAATTATCGTTATTTTAAAAGACGAACAAACCCTATTTTGGATAAAACATCAATTGACTAACCATTTAAAGCAGCCATTAAAGTTAGAATTCATTTTGATAACAAAATTAAGGACTCTTTCCAACAGTCTATATTTCAAACATTACATGAAGTATTATCAGGAAAATATATAGTTACTTTTACATAAACCCATCTTTGACCTAACTCCCTATAATGCAGAAAAGGCCCTTGAACTAATATCGAACAAAATTTTATTATCCCAATTTAAAGAAATTAATCACAATTTACATTAATAAATGCGACGTATGCCTAAAATCAAAATATGAGCGAAACATTTATAAACCGCCATAAAGGCCACTGGTATCTTCAAACCCCTTTGAAATCATTATGATGGACTTGTTTACAATTGAAAACAATACATTTTTGACATGTTTCAATCCATCCGTAACATGCGCAAGCTTATCATATAACAGATAAGAACGGTATTACTATGGTTAATAAATTAAGGCATTTCATTAACCATCACAACCTCCCAAGAAAAATATTAGTTGACATGGGAACCGATTTTTACAACCCTCATCTTAAAGATTTTTGTAAACTCTACCACATCGACTTACATTTTGCAAGCACTGGCAACACAACTAATATCAGCCCGCTTAAAAGAATTCACGGCACACTAAAAGAAAAATTAACAATTTTAAAGCAAACCAACTACGAAAAAATTATTTCACATTTAATGATACAATCCATTTTTATGTATAAGTTGGTAACTTTAACTTATTTTTTTTTACACAGGATCCCTTGGTGGATCAAATAGTTCAAATAGTTTAGGGGTGCTGATACAAACAATATGTTACTGCTACAGCTTCACCTGGATAATTGTAATTTTATTAAGGCAAATTTTCACACCACTATTGAGGTACTGCCAAGGTACTATAGCGAGCACGAGTGTGTTTGTGTGCGATAGGGCACACGTGTGTGTGAACAGCTTATCGATTCGCCGACTAGCCGTAGGCGCCTTTCTTCATGTGCGCCGTATTTGTAAATGTTTGTGTCGTACCTGCGTTCTGGGAAAGTAGTTAAACAGTTCAAAGAAAAAAGAAACTATCCGGACGTTTCGAGAAGGCTCCCGAAAGGAAGCAAAAGAGTATTTAAAGGAAGAGACGATCGCAGAGTGAGGAGGAAATTAATTGACCGTTGCAGAAGTGAATCGGGAAATAAATTGACAGTGATAGCAGCGAAATAAATAGCGCAGTAAATAGTGATATATCAACATTAATGTAAATAAATAGTTTTTGTCGTTATCAGTCTTAGAAGTAAATTTTGTTAAACCCGCGAACATTACAGTACGTTACCTTTATGGGGGGTAAACTTACCAAAAAAGTTAAATAAGTCTTCAAAAATTTCGCACCACTCATTTACCGAAAGCAGTTCTCGCACCAAAAATGATTATTATTATTTTTTAAAATTCCGTCCCACGTTAAGCAAATTTGTCGGTAAACAATATCCTATGGAAAGAATTAGTCTACACAGTACTTTTCTTTTGAAAGGACTGACACAAAACCCTGCTAAAACTCCACGCACAGAAGCCACTTCTCCAGTTACTCTTTACATTGAAACTATTGGATCTCCAGAAAATACTTACGACTAAATATTCCATCGAGAGTGTCGGGACCATTACTTTCCAAAATAAAAGCGCCAACCGGGAAATCAGTGGAAATTATTAAAATAAAAGCATTTAATTGCAAATTAAGGGATTAGTGGTTTTGACAATAAACATAACCTTTGTTTTTGTGATAGTCTAATATTAGTATAACCCTTTTATTAATAATAAAAAGTAGAAAAAATATAAATATTTAAATAATCACTTAAATTAATAGAAAGAGATGGTCAAGAACACTCGGAGCGCAGCAATCAACAACAAGACGCTACCAGATATGATGGGAACAAATAAAAGGGATAAACAAGGAGCAAATTGCTCCGATATGAAATTAATTCTCAGCAAACCTTCGAAGCTGGACATGCTGGAAAGCCTGAAAAGAGATATCGTCGAGGTTAAGAAAGCAGTGCAGGAACTACAAACCATTAAAGATGGTTTCAATGCTAATGTCCTAATCTGTGAAAAAGAAAATGAGATGCTTTGGGATAGACTTCAGAAATTGGAGCTCAAGGAGAACCGGAGAGAGAAGAACGAGAAACGACGAAACTTTGTTATTAGAGGCTTGGAAAACGCAGAAGACTTTGACGTAATGAAAGAGTTTTTATCAACTCGCCTGGATGTTGAGCATCAAATCGAGGATATAACTCCAATCAAAAAAGAGGATGCAGTTGTTCTCTCGATAGTTAAAATGGCAACCATAGTAGGAAAGCACAACGTAATGAAGGCTAAAAGAACCAAACTTCAGGGCTCGCGTATATTTATAAATCATGACTTAATGGACAACAAACGGAAAGAAAGAAATAAAGTCCAGGAGAAAATCCAAAACCTGGCAAGAGAAGAGGAAGCTAAAGGGAAAGAAGTGCGAATTCATTTTAGGGGACTGACAATTGATAATGCAAGATACACTTGAGAGGAGCAGCTGCAGCCCTTTCGAGTCAAGCAACGAGAGCAATCGGGTAGAGTTAGAAGCCCCGACCATGATCTGGCTCAAAACAACCAACAAAGCAGCCAACCTGCACAACAAAATATAGCTAACGTTGTGTTTTGGAACGTGAGAGACTTTGGCAATATATTTGACATTACAGAACAGGTCTATATTGAAGTTTTAAAGAACAGCGTATTGATAGGATTTACAGAAACTTGGCATACAACGGCATCAATTAGTCTACCATACTTCGTGAAACATATGGATGTTGCGTCAGTCCCTGCAGTGAGAGAGAAAGCCATGGGCCGGGCTAGTGGCGGCCTCTACCTCCTATGCAACAACAAAAAATTAAATGGCTACAAGGAACTAAACTCCAACGATACGTGGATGGCTTGCTCTCTCCTGCTTGACTCCAGGCGAGTTAGTATCTTTCAGGTGTATTTAAAACACCACCACTACGCCTCACCACTTGAAATGTTACCTGAAGAGATTGAAACCCTACTTGAGAGTAACCGTGGTGACGTAGTAATCGTGGGAGATTTTAATGCCAGAATTGGAGCAAGTAATCAGTTAGACTTGGAAACGGTAGAAAACACTGTGCTAACTGCAAATCGGGGGGCCCTAGACAACTTTTGAAAGCCTGGATTTTGTTATGTTGAACGGTAGGACGCCATCAGATCTTGAAGGTTGTGCTACGTTCGTAGCTGGACGTGGGTCCATTACCATAGACCATGTCTGGGTAAACCTCGATGGGCTGGCCTTTATTGCTGATTTCAAAATAGTCAATGCTGGGACCTCGGACCATTCACCATTAATACTTATCCTTTTCCTGCCTGTCCTAAAGCAGGGAGAGCTCGATCAGCCAACCTCTGAAAAAATACGATGGAAAGAGCGAGGTGGAAAGAGGATGCTGCGGAATATTATCACGAGTTGCTGAGTTCTGAAGCGCTCCAGCCTGTCTCCGTTACTAATCAAGATGTAACAACAAAAGCAGCAAGATTCACTGCGGCTATCCAAATAGCTGCAAAGGAGGTTGGCATGGTTAAACAAGTTCCTTTTTTAGCCTGAGCTGGGGCATAAAAAGAAAAAATGGTTTACTCAAGATTGCCGGGCTCAAAGATGTGACGTGAAACAAACCGAGAGATTATGGAGCAGGCGGAAAGATGTAATATCAAAAGCCGTAGCGGTAAGAAATGACTACATAGCTATGATCCGAAAAAGAAGAAAGAGCTAGTCAAGAGGCAGCGGAAGGAACTAGTCGAAGCCAGGGATATAAGAATATTCTAGCGTGTCGTCAGCGAGTACAGGAGGCAAAAAAAACATGTATGCCCTATCCCGGATCACAAATAACAAGAATTTTACTTCAACATAATGCCAAACCAAGTGCAAGTCACCTATACTATTTTTGGACGTCAGACACCCAGTACTTGATGGCGACATTACGGTAGATGAGGTATGGCAAGCGATTAACCGAGCTAAGTCGAACAAGAGCTTAACTATCGAGGCATCGCTCTAGCTAAAGCCAATGTCAAAATATTCGCCGCTGTGCTGGCAAGGAGGCTGTCTTTATGGTGCTGGGATGTAGATCTACTACCGGAGGGACAGGCGGGTTTCCGACAGCACAGATCTTGAAGATAATGTCTTTGTTTTGAGCACAAAAATAACCACAACACTATGCAAGGAGAGTAGAAAACTATATGCTTCATTCATTGACTTTCGTGGTGCGTTTGACTCAGTGGTCCACGCAAATTTGTGGTCTAAATTATACCAGGCTGGAATTAGTGCACAAATAATCAGAGTGCTCCAAGATTTATATAATAAAGCATCAGTGAGGATTAGGCTAGACGAAATACATCGAACCGAAGAGATCAATGTAACAGAGGGAGTCCTGCAGGGAGACCCACTGAGCCCACTTCTCTTCATTATATTTCTCCACGACTTAATGAACTTTTTTGTAAAAGAAGGACATTACAATGTGATTAAAGACATGGACATTCTACTATTTGCGGACGACTTAACGTTGATGTCAAATGATATCGTCGAAATGCAACACATGCTAGACAGGCTCTAAAAGTACTGTGAATTAAACAAATTAACAGTCAACGTTCAAAAAACTAAGGTCACAATGTTCCGCAAGGCGGGCAGAATACCAAAGCAGAGAAGGCTGAAGTATAAAGGTCATCCCCTAAAACTAGTAAAGAATTTTGTGTACCTGGGTGTTCAGTTTGCTTCCTCAGGCCTGTTCACAGCTACTGTCCAATATTTCCAAGCTCGGGCTGGAATGTCATTGAGCGCCGTCTGGAGAACTTTGCTTTCCAGTAAAATGTCTGATTAGTCCCAACGTATACTGCTGTTTAACGTCATTATATCGGTAGTTCTCCTTTATGATGCTGGCATCTGAGGTCTGAATCACACCACGGAGCAAGACAAAATCTGGCAAACGTTCTTGAGAAAGGTACTCTTTTTACCACAGTGGACCACGAACTATGCTTTGCGGCTGGAGACAGGAAGTACTACACTAGAGGGCATGGTCGTGAAGAGAGCGCTTACTTTTTAAGCCCGAGTTCTTGACATGAAGCCATCGAGTTACCCTAAGATATGTTTACAAAACCTAAAGGCATTACGTGAAGATCCTACTAATATACCTAGTCGCAACTGGGCCACGAAAATGAGGGATCTTTTTATTAAAACAAACTCTGAAGGACTTTTGAATTTATTGGACGGCGATCCAGTTAGAGCAGAAATCGCAAGAATCATAAGATCAACTTTTATTGCCCAGTACAACGACAGAGCAGATTACCTAAGGTAGGACTTATCTCTGCAACAACAGAGTCATCGCCCAGCTGAGACTTGTAGGGGGTGATCAAGTGACTATTAAAGCTATGGGCAATAAATACTGTATAGACACTAGTGAAATGTGCCTATTGTGCAATCAAGATGCCAAAGAAATCAAGAAATTCGACAGCGGTATTTAATGTGCCACTTTCCAGAAGTACTTAATCCTGTTGTTAGACAGAAGGCCTTTAACTTATATAGCTATATACCAAATAGCTTGTAGCCACGCTCTGTCGTGTGAGGTGAGAGATGTGTGACTATCAAAGTTGTGGTTCTGAGAAGAACCGATTCATAATACCGTTGGATACATTATCTGTATCATTGATGATTGGCACAAAATCACAGCTTCCAAGGGTTGACGCTTTATCAGCGTTCGAATAATAGCGAGCCTGGTGTTAGACTAATTTTATTCGAATATTTACAGAGTATTTATACAAAATTTATTTACATGGTTTAAATGGCAAAGAACATTTCAGCACATTACATTTGTGTGTGTATTTGCTGTTGACCTAGTTAGTCGCAGAGTGTCGCGACCTAACCAAGTCAGCACAAATGTAGACGCTTAATTGATACACAACAATAAATGTTTTCTTGCTATACCGAGTGTTCCCACATGCTTAAAGCTACGATCATTCGTGCTGGCTGAATAGTGTACTTTAAAACTGACAAAATGTGTGTTTGTAATGTTGACAATTAGTTGATTACACTTTATCAAAAGCGTTTATATAATATGTGTACTTGTATCTCCATGAGCTTCACAAGTATTAATAATAATAAAAAAAATAGTGAATCTCCAGTTTTTGAACGTCTCAGGAAGCTAGCTGGTAAAAAGCTCGAAGCACTTCGTTTTGAAATCGTGTTTATGCTCGAACAACATATGCTAAGGGCTTCAAGAGATCCATGGGCAAGTCCAATCCATCTCGCACCTAAAAAAACTGATGGATGACGTGTTCGTGGGGACTACAGAAAATTAAATGTTAAAACAACATCTGTTAGATATCCATTACTACTGCTTCAAGACTTGTTTCAGCGTCTTCAAGGAAAAAAAGTATTCTCAACTTTGGATTTAGTAAGAACGTATCATCAGATTCCCACGGCAGAACAAGACATCCAAAAAACTGCATGTATGTTATTATGCCATTCGGGATACGCAATGCATCACAAGGCACTCAATTCGAGTCAGCCCTCTTCACTTCAACAGCAAGTTTAGTTGGCGCTTTATGTATTAGAACAACTCCATGACATCCAGCTACCAATGGAATGGTAGAGCGCATGCATCAAACTCTAAAAGCAGCTCTCATGAGTCATCCACAAATTCCTTAAACTCGGCGTCTATCAACTGTGCTCCTGGGACTTCGCACGTGTATTAAAGAAGATTTAAAAGTCTCACCAGCAAAATTATTGTACGGTAAAACGCTGTATGTTCCTGAAGAATTTTTCGTAAATCAGGACATGCCAACAGATCCACAAAAACTGAGTACATGAGAAGCATCATACCAACTCCTACTGCTCATCATATGAAAGGTCGAGTCTTCATACTTAAAGACCTACACAACTGTTCACATGTGTTCCTAAGAGTTGATGGAGTAAAAAAACCACTCGAACCACCGTACTTCAGACCATACCAAGTGATTTAATGAGTCAATGACACAGTGTTTAAAATTAATGTCAATGTCTATAGAAAGACTTAAACCCGATTATGAAGCAAAGAACGACGTCACTACCTCAGGCCAAGGCGATGTGCCTGAAACACCAATTCCACAACAATGGGACTCCGGTATGGACCAACTTAAAACGTACACCAGGAAGAAGAAAATATTGTTCCCGAGTGAATGCACTAGGTCACTAGGGAGGGAGTGATGTGGCCATTCTGCACAAACTTCTGCTGCCAACCGCTAGAGGCGCAAGTGTGCGTGAGCAGGTGGTAGCAATGAAAATGCAAGTAGCCAACAGACAAAAGAGATAGACAGTTGATATCACGCAACAGTTGCAGTTCTAAAAATATTTATAAATTGTTATTTGTTAGTTGCCATTTGTATTAGTGAAGGTTTAATAAATATTATAATTAGTTTAAACAGTTGTTCCTGCTTTTCAATAGATAGCCCAAAGTATCTATAACTTATCAAATTATAACTACGCCAACAATAAGTTATCGTTGTCAAACCAGGCAACACTCTATTACCTACAAATTCAGCACTTATTTCTGTTACACCCTGTATATATCTTATCTATGCGAGGAACAATCAAAAAGAGCTCGAACTATGTCCATAGATAGTAGAACTATGTCATATAGAACAGTGTACTGACAGCCATAAATGCTTCGCCGCTCGATGATTAAATTTTAATTATACTGTGCGCGTGTAAGGGATAGGTTTCCATAATTGTAGAAAATAATAATAAATGATCTTACACGAACACTACAAACTTTATTTTAATTTAACAGTTAACAAGCGCGAGAGAATACAGCAGATAAATGGCGGAACAACTAGTAGTAGACTATATCGATTATTTTTTACGCGCCACGTTTTAAGACTCCAGAGTGACTAAGACCATAGACTAGTGTAGACTTGACAAGCCCGCGACAACCAACGTCATAGAAGTTAGATGTTCTATGACCATAGACATAACATGATACACTACAATACAATTAGAATAGATAGATAGGGCCAAAAAGACAAGCCAACAGTTAGCTTTTCTTACCGTAGTTCTATGACCTCAAGCATACCCCTCAAAAAGGACATCAATAAAAGTAAGCAAATTAAAAAAAGTAATACAATTTCAATTCAATTCGATTGACTTATTCATTAAAAAAAAAGAAAACATACCTATTGAATATTTTTGCTAAACTACGTTGCAATCACTGCAATTAAAACACAGTACTTGATAAGCACTTAAGCAATATTAAAACGTGTGTTAGTATTTTCGGAGACTACAGTATAGAGAAAACAATTAAAAGTAAACACGTTTGACACTGTGTACGTCAAGCAACAACACTACTTTTCTCGGAATAATAAGAACTACGCATAGTACATTGAACTACGATCAGCTATAAACGTGTATATTAATGTGTAATTTATGTAAAATTTATTCATTTGTCTACATTACGTTAACAGAATTCTTTTGAGATCACAAAAATATCGACAGTGAAAAAATATTAATCGTTAGATAACGAATAGTTCAGTTCATCTGTACCATTTTCATTGTTTACAGACTTACAGTTACAATATTGCAAAAAAATAATAGACTTTATAGTCAGTTATGCAGGACAATAAACAGCACCTTTAATTAACACACAGAGAAAGAAGTAGTGAGTCCCACTATGTTCCTTTCTTATTACAGGGCTGTATAGAATTTGCTTCCTCTCTTCTATTATCTCTATGATCGCAACATCTACCTACGGCAACGGCAACAAGATAATAAAGTATTATTGGTGGCAAACATTGAACGAGTCACCGAGTCTGTTTTGTAGGTTTCTGAACGATAAGTGAGTGAATGTTAATATTTAGTTACGATTGTCAACATGTCAACAGTATTGATGAAGTCGCGGTAATTAAGGGAGCCGCAAATTATACAGGTAAATTATTATAGTAGTTGTTTCATGTATTTACATTTTCGTAAACGTAAAAGACGAGAGATTTCCAGTGGCGTCACCAAATTTGTATTTCTTCAATAATGTCTCTTTTGTTGGGAAATTAAAAAAATAAAGATATAATAGTTTTAAAAAAAATCATATCAATTAGCCTGGAAAAAGCATAAACATGGAACGTACACACTTTAAATTGTATTTTCAATCTTTTAAAGTAAACAAGGCATATTAACATCTACTTCATAGTAAAAGACAAGTGATTTCCAGTGGAATCGACAAATTTATAAATCTTCAATAAAGTTTTTGTTACGAAATTGAAAAAATTGAGATGTGGTTTTAAATAATCCTTCATCCTTTCTTTCTCTACAACAGTTTAAGTTCTGCAAATACAAATTAAATACACATAGTTACGCCACTGAACAGATCACAAAATTAAAGGTAGGAGTAGTAACTGTAGTAACATTTTATGTTTGACAACTTCTATTCTTCAATGGTTATGATAGTCTTTTCGACTCATTCACTTCAGCGTAAATTATTACTGCTGTCTGCTATCTTTAATCTTCTTAAATACTACATTAATATGCGGTCATAGAATATTTGATGTATTCATCCATCTGCAAGATCGGAAATTGCGGACAGAAATACTCCCTTTTATAGAGCCTCATTAGTTTGCAACTTGATTGTGGACTTATATAGTCTATTAATTGTTTGCGCAGATTATTTGGAAATTTGAGGAATTGTCGGAAGGAACACTTGTGATTTAAGGTTATTTTGTGGTAATAACAAATAAAATAAAAAATGGACGAGGAGAATAAATTGTATGACTTCTCAGAAAGTCTTGATTCCGACATAGAGATATGTTGAAAGAAAAGGTTAGACAAAAAAATGAAAATTTCGGTAATGGTGCAGATGATACCTACTGATCAAGAATATTCTGTATACGGAGTGTAACAGAAATAAGTGCCAAGCACGCAGGAGGTGATAGAGCACTGTAAAACAAAAATTAAGTAAATGTTTGTACGTCCACCATTTTCGTGAAAAACGTAGTTGTAAATACAGGTAAATTCAATTCCGGCCCTGGTTCATAAATACGTCCCGCAACGCTACACTCAATAAGCTGGAAATTACTGGCATCAGTACTGTTCGTTTTGTATTTTTTTGCTCATGTATTAATTAAGTATTTATCAGATTAGATTAAGTGTGTTTCAGGGTGTTTATGTTAACAGACAACCTCTAACAGCCGTTTATTTTTTAACGTTTAAAGCTTGTGTAGTTCAATAAACTAATTCAGCAATACAACATCAATTATCAGTCTAAATCAGTCACTGCAGAACAGTCGATGCCTAATTACGGTTTTCAATCATATGACTGAAGAAGACAATCCCCCAAAATAGTATATGCAAAATAGAACGTTGGCTTCTTTCAGTATGGCAATTTTTAATGGAACAGTATTCTTATTATTTGCAACGAGTACAAACTTTGCTATACTTCATTTACTTTATGTAGCGATGTGCCCCTTCCAATGTCTTGGATGCGCGCTGGCAAAATCGTAGGTAGGGAGAAAAAATCTCATTATACTCTCGTATATTCATTAAACATAATTTTTCATACATTATCTAAAAGTTTTGTTTAATCATGAATAGTAATGCGAATCAAAAACAAGCGTTGAGGCCTTTAATATGTCTTCAAATATAAATAAACATCTGGTTGATATTTTCAGTAGTAAATGGTACCAATAACAGCACATTTGAGTAATGCAATTGTAGTGCATAAAATGGTCAATTTTTCCGTGCAGTACTGTACGGATTATACGCTCTTTACCGGTTAAGAGTTTGGCCGAAAGTTTTCTCCTTCCTTTTCTGGCCTAGTGTTGTTCTTTTCTACTTTGCGCCGGTCAAACTGAAGGTCACATCGCTACAAAAAGTAAACGAAGTATACAAACTTATTTTCAGCCGCGAGTGGATTTGTATCGGTGGTTTCAAAAGAAAAATACTGCATAGCCTAATTTTATTCACAGGGTGTCGTTTACAGACAGCTTCACGTGGGACGGAATTTTGAATAATAATAATCATTATTGGAGCCACGCATATTCGTACATCCTTCGCGATTTCAAGAAGTGTTTTCGGTAAATGTGTGGTACGAAATTTATTGGACGTTTACTTTAGTTTAGTTTACTTTCAATCACCGGAAAAAAGTAACGCCTTTTGGCAATACTTCAATGCTGAGTATCGAACGTCTAAGATAAACAAAAATAAACATAAACAAGTTAGTACTACACCCTGTATAAGTATATATATATATATTGGATACGGAAATCACGTCATTATCTACTTTTTCAGCTTTGAAAGATCAAAAAGTACCTACAACGACGTGTTGTCGATATCTCGCAAACTAATCAAGTAGTATTAGGTCGGGAGGGAGTAAGGGGTTGTTAAAATTGTATACAAGATTTAAGTAACTTCCTAATACTTATATAGGAGTATTATATATATGGTCGTAGCACTTGCTCTAAATTACGTAATGCTTAAGCTTAACTTGATTTCCCATTAAAATTAATAGTTAAGTGTCAGAACGCTCCCGGGTTCTAATTCAAGTCGATGGTACACCTTTTGCTTTTTTTAAATTTGTTATACACCTCTTAAAGGTTAAGTTATGGATAGTTTAAATTGCCGTGATTAAATATATTATTGTTTCTTTTTTATTAATTCCGTAATGTTGCGACTCTTGAGCATATCTGGTAAAGTTCGTTGGGTTGTTCGTCTGCTTTCTTTAGACGCCTGTGTTATGTTTCAGCATCGTCAGATCAGTAAGATGCACGTATTGTATTTGCTCAAGAACGTCGAAAATATGTCAGAAGTGGAAATAATTGAATCTGCGAAGACCATCGGTTCCAACGAACTCGATGTACAATGTGACATTCTTAAACAACACATACACAGAAAGCTATACAAATGCGAAGCCTGCAAAAAAGGCTTCACACGAAGGGGCCATTTGCTTGATCACTTAAGAACCCATTCGGGTGAAAAGCCGTTTATATGCGAAGTTTGCAAAAAAAGCTTCACACTAAAGGTTTCCCTAAAAATTCACATGAGAACCCATTCGGGTGAGAAGCCATTCAAGTGCAATATCTGCGAAACAAGCTTCTCTCATAAGAACAGTTGGAATCGACACATGGCAAACCATTCTGGTGAAAAGCCATTCAAATGTGGTATCTGCGAAACATGCTTCTCTCATAAGAGTACTTTGAATCAACATATGAATGTCCATTCTGGCGACAAGCCATTCAAATGCGAAGCCTGCAAAAAAAGCTTCAATCAAAAGTGTAATTTAAATGCTCACATGAAAGGACATTTGCTTGAAAAACCATTCAAATGTGAAACCTGCAAAAACAGCTTCACTCGGAAGCGCAGTTTGATTCAACACATGCAAACCCATTTGAACGAGAAGTTCAAATGCGAAGTCTGTAAAAAGAGCTTCACACGAAAGCTATATTTACATGATCACATGAAAACCCACCCGGGCGTGAAACCATTTAAATGCGAAGCCTGCAAAAGGAGCTTCGCACGAGAAGTTTATTTAAATGTTCATAAGAAAGCCCATTCGAACGATAAACCGTTCAAATGCGGTATCTGTGAAACATGCTTCACTCAAAAGAGTTCTTTGAATAAGCATATGCAAATTCATTTGGACGAGAAGCCATTCAAATGTGAAATCTGCAGGAAAAGCTTCACACGAAAAGTTTATTTAAATGTTCACATGAAAACCCATTCGAGTGAGAAACCGTTCAAATGCAGTATTTGCGAAACATGCTTCACTCACAAAAACACTTTAAATAATCACATGCAAACCCATTTAGGCATAAGGCGGTTCAAATGCGAAACCTGCAAAAAAAGCTTCACACAAAAGATACATTTACATGATCACATGAAAACCCATTCAGTCGATAAGCCCTACAAATGCAGTATCTGCGAAAAATGCTTTTCTCTGAAGAGCTATTTATATAAACACATGCGAACCCACATAGACAGTGAATCATTCAAATGTGATCATATAAATGGAACTACTAATGCTGTAGACGAAGACAAGGGATCTGTCGAACTGACTGAAATGATTAAACTCAAATATCAGAAAGTAACAAAAAGTTATCAGAAGATTAGCAAACGTTTAACTAACATCGGTGAGCCGTTAACAATAAAACCTGCCGAGCCTGTTGCAAAAAAGGAGGAAGAAGGAAGGTTTACCACTGCTTATGAACCATTTGTTGGTTATGAGCAAAAACCTATCGAATTAAGTGAAATTAGAGTACCTGTTTTTTATGAAAAGGAACCTATCGAATTTAGTGAAATTATTATACCTAAAGAAGAACCCAAGGATGAGTATTTTGAAAATGTCAAAAATTTCATCGTACCTTTTCCAGAAGTCCATGAAAACACTAAGGCATTTACCCTTAAAGAAGAACCTACAGAGTTCTAACAAATAAAACATGTAGCATTTCCAAATGATTATTTAGACTTAATAGAAAAGCAGATTTTTGCAAATATACTAGTGTTACTAGTCAACCAGCACATTATTAAATTTATTATATCTCAATTGCACTATTCTACGCAGGTATTGGTTTAGAATTAACCTGTTTTAAAAGTTGGTACAGCAGGCTTTGTATCGAATAATGTAAAATGTTTACAATAAATTGTAACCGAATATTGTTAAGAAATATCATTATAAAATTTCTACATTTTATTATTTGTGTTCTTTATTTTCTAAGGATAGTTTCTCTAAATTAACTTTCACTTTATAAGAACCATCATCCTCGTGTAGAGCTGCGGTTGAGGATGTAACGCTTACTATATTACGTAATTACGTTATAATTATCTAATTATTTCAAAACTGGACAGCACAGATCCATCATCATAAAGTTGTCAGTCCTAAGACTGGTTGGATATGCACCTCCACTCTTTCCTATCCTGAGCTAAACTTCGCATTTCCCTAAAACTAGAACAGCCCACATCCCTAACTATCTGCGAACAGTAATGTAATCTAGATCCACCTCTGCCCCTCCGAACTCCCGTTTCTGCCACTAATATGCCTCTAACTAGACCTTCATGCCTGAGAAGGTGTTCTACTAACTTATCTCGCCTATTTCTTGACTTCTATAGAGTCCTCTGTTCTCCTATTCTTTCTAATACCTCTTCATTACTAACCTTCTCTATCCACGGTATCCTCATCATCCGCCTGTAACACCACATTTCGAACACTTCTAACCATTACTTTTCCACCGCACCCATTGTCCATGTTTCGCACCAGTACCTCTCCGTGCTCCAAGCATACACATTTGACATCCTTTTTCGAATTTCCATAATTATCGTTCGCGATCATAGAAATGCCTTTTTTTATTGAAAGTGACTAGACCCTGCACTATCCTCTGATTTACATCCCTACTACTCCTTCCGTCCTGACTTATCTAAATTCCTAGATACCTAAAATTCTCCTAATTTTTCGAATCCTATCATATTCGCTCTTTCCCTACTTTTCTTCTCTATGTCTCTATATCCCTGTCATTTGTTTCTCCCACCGCCTTTAGTATTTCGTCTGTCCTTGTACCTAGCCTATCACGCTTTTGTTACATTTTAGCCCTAAGTCAAGACGTTCCCTACCTTTCCTCTTTTTCAGAATTTTCAATTTAAGATTGGACTTCATAACCATTAAGTTATTATCGCTATCTATATCTGCTCCTTGATAACTCCTAAAGTCCTTCACTTGATTTTTAAATCTTTGCCTAACAAGTATTTAATCTAACTGATATTGCCCTAATTCACCTGGCAACTTCCACGTATAGCACCTCTTAACGTAATGTTTGAATAAAGTATTTGCGACGGTTAAGTTATGTTTATCGCAAAATTCTATCGGTGGTAGGGTAGAGGAGAAGGTCCAAATATGAGCACTGGTCCAATTATGGGCTACTCCTGAAATCTCTTCATGTATGCACCCCCGTCTAGCGTCAACACCGCTAACTATTTCGTCTATAAGTATTCTAACGTTAGTGTGCCTTGCAGCCATATTTGTTCACGTGTTTATTTTTAAAAGTGGAAAAAGTTGTTTTTTTGCAACATTGTTCAGTGCAAATATTTATCAGGTATGTAAAAAATTGATTTTTACTTAATCGGTACATATTGAAATAGAATTTGAATTAACATGACGTCTAATTGAAGTACTAATTGTTGTGTTTTCATGGTATTTTGCTTACTTTTTAGGTTTTTAGAGTTTATGTTTTTATTTATTTGTCAAATTGCCGGTGGTCTAAATATGAGCTATAGTAATCGGTCTAAATATGAGCTATAGCTCATATTTAGACCAAAACTTTACGATCTGCTAAACTATATGTTTTTCATTTTAGAATGCCGAGAAAAACACCAAAATATGTTCCTCAAGGAAAAAGACAGTTTTGGAACCCGGAAGATATGGAAAAAGCTGTGACAGCGGTAAGAGAAAACAAAATGGGCACTTTAAAAGCGGCAAAGACTTTCCACGTACCTCGTAGCACAGTTCAACGGCTGTCTAAAAAGGAAAATCTATCTCCTGCTCAAGTAGCACGCTCAAAATTAGGTAGAAAAACGTTTCTGCCAGATAAAATGGAGGAAGAACCTGTTACGTACCTTTTAGTTATGGAACAGAAATTTTTTGGATGCACTATTCAGGACTTGAGGCGGGTGGCATTTCAACTCGCTCAACGCAATAACATTCAAACTCCTTTTAAATCTAATGAGGCTGGAAGAGCATGGACTGATCTTTTTCTAAACCGCAATAAAGATCGTTTATCTATCCGTAAACCATGTGGAACTTCTTATGCGAGAGCTCTTGGTTTTAATAAAGAAAACGTAAAAAAGTATTTTGATTTGCTTGAAACAGCTTACGAAAAGCATAATTTTACTGCCAATCGCGTCTATAACGTCCATGAAACAGGCCTGTCAATAGTTCAAAGCAAGATACCGCATGTGATCGGACGAAAAGGAAAGCGGCAAATAGCAGCAATAACATCCGCTGAAAGAGGTTCAACGATTACAATCATTGCCTGTATGAGTGCTGGTGGCGATTATGTACCACCCTTAATTATTTTTCCTCGAACCAACATGACGCAAACTTTAATGAAAGGAAGTCCTCCAGGTTCTATTGGCCGTGCTCATCCCTCTGGTTGGGTTCAAAGCAATATTTTTACAGAGTGGTTTTCTCATTTCATAAGCCATACGAAACCAACTAAAGAGTCACCAGTTTTGCTTGGTTTGGACGGTCATTACAGTCATGTTAGAAACATAGATGTTATTAATTTGGCTAGAGAAAACCATGTCACCATTGTTTGCTTTCCTCCTCACTCAACACATAAATTACAGCCCTTGGACAAAACATTCATGAAAGATAAAATTTTAGAAATAAGCTAGCTCATATTTGGACCTTAAGTAATAATTTGGTAATTTTGTAGAGATTTCATTATGTGTAAAAAGTAAAAAAGCTGTTTTGTTTAATTTCATGTTAATCACATCAAATCAATAAAAATGTATCATTTTACAATATTTTTGGGATATAATGTAAAATATTATTTTTATTTTCCAAAATTTTTGAGAAAATAAAAGACGTAGCCCATATTTAGACCTTCTCCTCTAACCATTTCTATTGCCTAATCCAAAAGAACCTGCTATTGCACCGACATTACCTTCACCTATTAGGTTTTCCTGTCCTCTCACTAAATTTAACACGTCTTTTGTATTTGCATAATCCGCTTCTACGTCTTCATCACTGTAAGATGATGTAGGCATGTAGATCTGCACTGATACCGTTTTACCGGCTTCAAGTTTAATTTAACCACAACTATCCTATCGTCCGGAGTGCTTTACCCCAAAGGACGTTTTTAGTTTCAGTGTGTTTTACTAGAGATATCATAATGTGGTGGCTTCCCGTTGCCTTCCACATCGCAGTATTGTGCATCGGAGTGCCATACCGATCCTCATGACCTCTGCCACCCTGATTACCTAAAGAACTGTTGCCCTCTTTCAAGGACTTGTCTTAGTCTGATTTCTCTTTAAGAACCCCCCCCGCCTATTATGGTTGAACCTATGGTCCGTATCCTTAATCATCGAAACTCGTAAACTGATCCACCAACTCTAGTTTGTATAAGAGTTTCGTCAAGGTTGAAATCCCGTCAGATCAGAGCATAGATCCATCATCAATAAAAATAAATATCTTATGGATAATATTAATAGTCAAAGATAAAGTTGAATGTGAAGTTTCGTAAAGGAGCGCCTTTGTAAAAAATCTAAGAGGATATTCAGTTTGTCAGAAAACATTTATATTGTCGTTCCGAATAAAAGAATAGAAGTATGCAAAAAGAAATTTTTAAAAAAAGGGTATCACTGTTTAATTAAATTCAACCTTTTCGACAAATCATATACTCAAGAGAAAAGATATTCCTATACGATAAGAGTTCCCCATTCCATTTTCCATGTTTTTTTTTGTTAAAAGTATCTATAGGGTTGTTCGGAAAGTCATTTCGTTTTTTTTGTGGAAATGAAAGACAGTTTTCGTATAATAAACAAATACTTTATTAAATTATATATTGACCGTTCTGTTCCAACACCTTTTGCCATCTTTCTGGTAGTAGCATAATTCCACGCTCATAAAATTTTTGGTCTTTGCTGGCAAAAAACTGATCGAGGAGGTTTTTGACCTCCTCATTTGAGGTGAAGGTTTTACCGTCTAAAAAATTTTGGAGTGACCGGAACAAATAATAATCCGATGGTGCCAGGTCTGGAGAATATGGTGGGTGTAGCATTGTATCCCATTCAAGCTGTAAAAGCTTTTGGCGAGTGACCAAACTTGTGTGAGGTCTCGCGTTGTCTTGGTGAAACACTACACCTTTCCTGTTGATTAGTTCTGACCTTTTCTGTTGAAGTGCATCATTCAGTTTGTCCAGCTGATGACAGTAGACTTCCGAATTAATCGTTGTGTTATCCGGTAAAAGCTCAAAAAAAACGATTCCTTTAAAATCCCACCAAACAGACAGCATCACCTTTTTTTGGTGAATATCGGCTTTGGAAATGGTTTGAGCCGGTTCATCTTTTTTGCTCCATGACCTCTTGCGTTTGACGTTGTTGTATACAACCCATTTTTCGTCCCCAGTGATGATGCGCTTCAAAAACGGATCATTTTCGTGACGTTTGAGAAGCGAATCGCAGACGTCAATGCGGCGACACAGATTTCTCTCTGTGAGAACATGGGGAACCCATACATCGAGCTTCGAGGATAATCCCAGGCCTTTCAAGTGGTCATAAACTGTTGAATTTGATAAATTTAACCTCAATCCGATCTCACGTGTTGTTATTCGCCGGTTCACATCAACTAATGCCTTTATCGCGTCTTTATCAGCTTCAACCGGCCTTCCCGAACGTGGTGCATCTTCGACATCAAAATTGCCGGATCGAAATTTAGCGAACCAGTTCTGGCACTGGCGTACTGTCAACACACCTTCTCCATACACATCAGTCAATTTCTTTCTGGCTTGAACAGCATTTGTACCCTTTCTGTAGTAAAACAGTAAGATATGTCGAAAATGCTGCTTATTGCTCTCCATATTTAAAAGGGCACCAACCAAAAACTACTGCGTAGAATTAATTGGAATTTTTCACACACAAGCCTTGCTATATTAGCTCTCAAAGCATATAAAAATTGTACGGCTTAAATGTGAACTTGGGTGCAAAATAATACAATTAAATCCTCTGTCGGGAAAAAACGAAATGACTTTCCGAACAACCCTATAGATTGGACCAATTATTCGGGGTATACTGTAAATTAACTTAGGTAGTAGAAATACAGAATAATATAAACGGCAATGCTAATGAAGAAAAAGAAAAGACATCGACCGCGAAAAAGAACATAATGATTCTAAAATTAATATCTTAAGCGTTACAAGAAAATATCGATTTGAAGGATTCGAAAACAGAAGTATCTGGAACGATATCATTCCATTGCCAGCCAGTTAAAACGTTCGTTGCGTCATAAACATTGTGCGGTCAATTCGAGTTATTGTAGGCATGTATTTTATTAGTCGGTATTTGATGTACAGTTTTCGAAATCTGCTTTTGTGTGAAAAAATTGAAGCGTGTTTATTTCTAATCTATCTGTTTGTCTCGTATGCATTCGTAAACCATATCATTCGATTGATGAGTTACGTCACACATTAAGAGAGAGGAGGACTCAACAAAGAGTAACATTCTATGATAAGGAGAGCGGGTCATAAACATCGTGACGTCACATAACGCTAAAGGAAAACTTTAAAATGTTGTCAACTCTTTAAATATTATTATGTATAGGGCTTAGTTTATATCACTTTTTGACACATAGCGATCGCTCGAATTCACGCTTGCTGTACCTACGTGGTATCGTGTCGTCTCGTGCGTCGGCCGCCTTTATATTAATATTAATATGACAAAGAGCGTATTGAAACGTACAAAGCATGTGACAGTACAGAACAGCGCACTTTTTTGTAACTAGAGGAATTAGCGAAACAGCACAAATAGAGACAGTCAAGGTACATAAAGCATCCTAATCTTATCTACCTATGGAAAATTTTCCCCATGAAATAATAGTGCAACATTCTTCTTCAGCAACACATTCCCTCCCGTCTGCTGTAAAAGGTTTGACGAGTGTTTTCCGACATTTCAACGAATGTTGCTTTTCGTTTCGATAATTTTTCACGAAGCTTATTCAAATTACAGGTAAGTTCATGGTTGAGTCAATAAATTTTTTCGATGATGTATCCCCAATACAAAAATTAAGTTAGGGGTAAATCCTAGCGGACCATTTAGTAGAACCCTACCCGTCAATAATGCGATTGAGAAAGGTAACTTTTAAAAAGTTGCGAATCACTATCGCATTATGAGTGAGACAACCGTCTTGTTAATACCAAATTTCAATACAATTGATATAAATCCTTTGAAACGCAGGAATAATTTGCTCTCTCAAAAAAGTTAAGGCGTTTGTCTGAATTTAAATTACAGTTGTCAAAAAAAGGGCTCATAATAGAATTTCCTAAAAATTCCAACCCTTTCAATAACCATTTGAGGGTACTGCGTCCGTTGGGAAATACTTGTGATGACCACGAGCAGAAAAGCAGACTCATTAGTGAACAAAATTTGCCTAATAAATCTGTCATTTCTATTCGCCCTCACTTGTGATCGCAACTTTGTAGTATCTCTACATGTAAAGAAATAAAACAGAAATAAACTTTTTAAATCTATTAATTTATTTACAGGAAGAAACATTGTGATTGTCAATATTGGTAATAGGGCCTTTATATTCTTACGTTGTGTGATCTCAGTGACTTATTTAAATTCTGTACAGACACAGAAATTCGGACCACAGATTTATTTACAATATTTACATATAGGTATTTAGAAATGTCCGTTTGGTTAATTTGGAGAACCATTAAAAATTGTTCAACACAGTACTAGTAAAAGTATCTTTGTTTTATTTTCTCTCAACCTATTCTCCTATATCACACCTTACTCCATCAAACCAGCGCATACCGAGCTAGTGGAGGGTTGATATTCTGTTCCACTAGTAATTGAATCTATCTTACCGAGTACTCTTTCCATAAAAGCACTCATGTAGCCCTCCACTTTTTCTTCAACAACCTGCCTGATAATATCCTCCATTTTACCTCTCGAAAACTCGCCTCATTCTCTCTCCCTGGTCCTGAAGGGGTTATTCACCATGCTAGAATTTACCATTTTTTATATGTAAATATACCAGCGAATTTTTTCTAAAGGTAAGCAAGGTAATATACCCGTTTTTCAAAAACCAACTTCGTTCAACCAGAAATCCAATACATACCTAAGATACCGCGTCACGGTCGACAGGAACTACCCCGCCGGACACCACATAAAACAAACGAGCAAACCACGTCTTACGTCGAAGAAGAAATTGAGGGAATTTCTCGGACCTTCAATTGACTCCCGATATACGATCCCAGATTTGCTGCTATCACGGCTCTCTTCACCCCACTACTTTCCCCAAAGACGCGTTAGATTTGGATGAAAGAACAGCAAATGGCATACAAAAACCTGAAAAAAGCGTAAACACTAAACAGTTCATCCTACAAACGGACGCCAGCCATCAAGGATTTGTCGATGTGCTCTTAACCGCAAGGCCCGAACGATGAGAATGAAATCTCCTTCTCCAGTGTCAGCCTACCGCACCCAAAAGACTTTATAACATTAATGAACTGGAACGTCTAGGTGGTCACGCATCACCGGATAACAAGGTCAAGTTTACCTGGCAGACACTGCTGCTTTAGAAGTTCTTCGAAATCATGCAGTACACAGAAAAACTTAATTAGCTGCCCGAACTTGTAAGAAGTATGCTTGGGGACAATGACGTAACTAGAAAACCTTAGACAACACAATATGAAGATTGGAAAAAACTTTGGCGGTTGTTGTAGAACAAACAAGATAGCTCAAAACCCCAACGCCAAAACACGACACTGTAGTTGTCCGAAGAAGGTAACCTTGTGACCGAAAACTGCTTCGGACAACTACCGTGTCGTGTTTTGGCTTGGGGTTTTGAGCTATTTTGTTTGTTCTACTTAGAAAACATCCCAACAGTAAACTAACTGTAACCCAAAGTCAAACCATTGATTAATCGCTGGCATCGCACCAAAAGGGACGGTCCGCATTATTTGGCTGAAGGGAAACTTTCAACTACATGAGATACAAGATGGACTTTGTACAGAAAGGCTGTGTCCCGAAGACTAGTCACAATGCCAAGCAATTTACGACAGCATCTTATATTCCAACATCATGACATCTACGAAGCTGGACATTCATGCGACGGGATCTTCCAACAGTTTACGATGCCTCTGATGCCATTTACAACGGTCACAGTGGTAGATATAAAAACGTTGTTAATGAACACATGCTGGATTTTAGACTATCACCTGGGAAGTTCCACATCGAAATATGACTTCCACAAGAGCTCTAAGATTACCCATCTGATTGTTTGGTTCGGTACCTGGTCCGAGGACTTACTGAGACCCTTTGATATTCAACATTGTTTTCTTCAAAAAAATTGTTGGCTAACAGAAAGGCCTTACGAATCAAACCAAAGAGTTAGATCTCCTATCCCTTTGTAACATTTTTAGAGGTTTTTGAACAGAAATTTTCTTTAGCATCGTTGTGATTTGAAAGTCGATGAAACGAAAGAGCGACAGTAAAAAGAGACAGACATTAATTCATAAGATTTAACGTGAGAGAAAATGAGATAGGAAGCATTATACAGTGTTTCTAATGTTCGTGGTTCTCATTGTGCTCTGCATCGTACCCCCTCCACTCGTTTTTACTAAGGCATAGTGAGAGTTTGCTTGGGCCTCAGCGTTGTACGTGTTTGTGCGCGCATGCGTAGTACAAAGCTTGAGGAAAGGCATCACAACAACCGTGGTATTTTGTATACGTGTACGTATTATATGTTTGTAGAGTTTTTTCATCATTTTTATAATAAAATTCTTCAAATTTGCCGAAAACGAAAGCAGAATATTGTCGCGATCTTGAAACCAAAAGGTTTCACTTCTACCACGTGTGAATTGCACACGTTTTTTTTTTTCAGTATAACCAGATACTCCCCGTTACAGCCCAACAACTTTTGTGGAATTGATCTTTCGATTTGGAGCTTTCCTGGCGATATATTCGCGGTGTCAGATTACAGTGGAACATTCTGTAATCAATAAAAAAGAATGCACAGCACATGTACCATAAACTATTTGATCACATTTAAGTTAGGCGGTAATACAGGAAACCACATAAGTTGATGTATCTGTAAATGCCACTTTTCTGAAATTATTGTAGTTTTTGTATAGTCTTATCAATTCGAGATGACAAACTTTAAGCTTTAAAATACAGCCAGAGCTGAGGCATTACATTGTGGTTCATGTTATGCTCAACCGATAGATTTTGATTGATACAACGTTAAAAAGGTTTCACCCAGCAAAACTTAAACAATATTCTATAAAGGTTAACATATTCAATTCCAGTATAAATAAAAATAAATACGATACTAAAAAACTTTCGATTTGGGTAAGGTTTCACTTTATTTGTAATATACATCAATATTATATTAGTATATTCACTTGTTAATATGCCCTAGCAGAGACATCAATAAATAAACTACCACAACAATTCAATTTTTTCTTTATTACTTACAAGAAACGTTTGAAATTACACTGACCAATTATAAAGCAATCATTTTAGATGAAATATTTTTTTATCTTCATAAACAGTTTTGATGTACCTACATATTAAAAGGTATTTATTCTTATATCTAATAAGGAGTACCTTTCTTCTGACTTTCATACCATGCTTTTGCAATTGTTCGCTTCATCTCATCATCTCCTTGTTCGTATCTGTAACAAAAAAAAATTAATGGAGAGATACTCATACTTTAACAAAAATATGAGTACATAAGCACAAAAATGTTGATAAGTCAGGTTCGCCTCCCCATCCGTTCACTCATATTTACCACGACATACCTCTCAAATTCGGTCTAGCTAATATCAAATCCATACTAAACTCAAGGAGTTTTCCTTCATGTTGTAAAGTAATCAAATCAACAGTCTCAGAAATGCTCGCAATCTAAATGAACAATTCAGCAATACAACATCAATTATTAGTGTAAGTCAGTCACTGTAGAATAGTTGTTACAATAATGTGACATACGTATTTACAGGTTTGAACTATATCGCTCTTATAGAGACGAAATCCTCGATTTCAATAGCAGAGAACGTTGGTTGCTCTCAGGCTGACAATTTTTAAAGGAACAGTTGCTGCATCCTTGTCATTTGCAGCGAGTGCAAGCCTTACTTGAAACTGATTTTCAACCATCAGTGGATTTGTACTGTATAGGCTAGTTTTTTCCGTAGAGTGTTATTTGCAGACAAATTTGCTTCACGCGAGAATTCTGAATAACAATCACTATTAGTGCGATGCAAATTCGCATGTCATCCTTCACGATTTCAAGAATTGTTTTTGGCAAATGTGTGATGTGAATGTTTTGGAGACTTATTTAACTGTTTTGATAAGTTTACTTACAATTACCTGCAAAAAAAATACCCCTTCCCCTTAGCAATCCATCAACGGTGATGTGAAAAATTGCTTTAATGAAATTACCAGGTGATGTTCATTTATCGACTAATGTTTATGTAACATTTTTTCTTTTTTTGTGTTCGTAAATTTACATAGTGCTGCTTATAACGTAACTTATTTAAATTGTTTAGTCTAAACATTATTCGGCAAACTTATGTTGCCATTTCACGCACAGAACCGACATTAGATTGTAAATTGTGATTTTCTTAAAAAAAATTTTACCAGTAACCACATTACTGAACTCACCCTGCAATTGCTTATTGTATTTAGTTTGCACCCTCCAAAGCTCGGCACTTATTTCTGTTACACCCTGTATAATTTGGGTAGAAACCCCATATGTAATAACTATATTTATTTTATTACAAGTTCTTCCCTCCTATCAGTCACGGTGAGCTCGAAACTGTTAGCACCACTGCTCCGAGCGGTCGAAATTCACTTTTATGAACAATTTGTTTAATCACTTTCTTTATGTTGAAAATTGTTTGAAAAATTGAATTTATAGGAACTGTTTGTAAATAGGTATGCAACACGTCGCACACTTCAGCATAAGAAATTGCTGATACTAATAATTTCTTTTACATATAATATTAAGATAATAAGATCTTTCACTCAGTGTGAAAATTCAATGAAAATATTTTGTGTAAAAATTGTTATTTTAAGAGCTGAGCAGAATTTATTAACTGTCCGTTGGTTTAACGCACAACAAAATCATTAGATTACAGGAATCTGTAATTTAAAACTTATAGTTTGGCTACCCAATCGTAGTTAGAGAGCAAAAGTTGGACTTCGCCCTGTGCTGACACCACTCATAATTTCTTTTATATATAATATTTATGGAATTTATCAGCGAAAAAAGCATTTGGAAAAAAATGGAGGCATAGTAGTAAATAATAAATTTAAAACACCAATTTATAAATAGACTAGATTAAGTTAGATCAAAAATAACAAGACCGTCACTTTTCCTAGGGAAGTGCGTCACCCCTCTTCAAGCAAAAATAATAGCTCTACCACAGTAGGGGCACTTTCTTCTACAATGACTGTAAAAGTCTTAAACAATAAAATTTACATTTCACAGGTATGTATACAGTCATGAAAGGTTATTATTTCATCTATTGGAAAACGTGTATTAAAATAAGAGATTAATCTTTGCTCTCGCTAAAGGAGAAGCAATCTTAAGCCACCCTGTATATTTTAAATAGTCAAAAGCTAAGATTTCTGTACTATGCTATTTCTTCAAAGAGATTCTTGAGAAGTCTGACATTATTTTCAATAGCAAGAACTATTACATAACTTACGTATTTTTCATGAGATTCATAAGCATTTCTGAAGGATCCTTATTCTCATCAGTATCCAAATTAGGAAGTTTTCTTGATTCATGCGAACGTTGTTCCATTTCAGTCACAAAATCCCATTTACTGCTATCAGATTTTGCAACATTTACAATTACCATATCTGTAATTAATACAATACATATAATAAAAATCAACTACAGCTATTTATTATTAACCAACCAGTATGTTTGTAACTATGAGGGAGTTACAGAACATTGCTCCAATTATACTTAAACAAGTCAATAAGTTACTTTATTCGTTATTAAATAAGGGATTAAACAAAAAATCCCAGTTAATTATACAAGCAATAGCAACTTTCTAAAAGCATTTACGTAGATTAAAAGTAAAACGGAATTGCCAGAGACGCATTAACAATATTGTAGTGGTCAACATTCTGTACCTATTTAATTTATTAAAACAGGTTGAATACAATAATTCGAAGTGGTCTGTATTCTGTCGAAACTGCCAGACGCGGATCGCGATTTCGATCTTCTTGGATCTCATCAGCGCGTCGCAGACAGCTCCGACAGAATACAGACCGACTTTTACCTGCTGACTTAACAGTGCGTTTTAGAAAATACCACAAATGGCGCGGTAAACGCCATCTGTAGTACGATGCTACATTTTTGGATTACGTATGCTCCAACAAGGTCCACTTGTGTAGATATCTACTTGCTGAAAACGAATCCCGGCGTAGCCAACCTCAACGTGATAGGCACGTTAGCTTAATCGAATAAAATAATTCGAAGTGGTCTGTATTCTGTCGAAACTGCCAGACGCGGATCGCGATTTCGATCTTCTTGGATCTCATCAGCGCGTCGCAGACAGCTCCGACAGATTACTCAGATGGCGTTTACCGCGCCATTTGTGGTATTTTCTAAAACGCACTGTTAAGTCAGCAGGTAAAAGTTGGTCTGTATTCTGTCGGAGCTGTCTGCGACGCGCTGATGAGATCCAAGAAGATCGAAATCGCGATCCGCGTCTGGCAGTTTCGACAGAATACAGACCACTTCGAATTATTTTATTCGATTAAGCTAACGTGCCTATCACGTTGAGGTTGGCTACGCCGGGATTCGTTTTCAGCAAGTAGATATCCACACAAGTGGACCTTGTTGGAGCATACGTAATCCAAAAATGTAGCATCATACTACAGGTGGCGTTTACCGCGCCATTTGTGGTATTTTCTAAAACAGGTTGACTCAAATAATTTTCCATTGCAATTTTCTGCACCTACGTGCTACAATCCTCATTTTTTTTCGGATTTTTAGGTAGAACCCTTTGAGCTGTAGAAGTATACTAACATAAGTTTTAAGGCTAATGAACCATTACTACTACATATTAAGGGAGAAATAAAACAATACGAACGCTTATAAGTAGTTTTACATAAGCAGATAAAATTTGTTTGTCTGTAGAGAATAATCTCTGGAACTACAAAACCGATTCTAACAATTCTTTAACTAATAGAAAACTACATTATCAGTGATGGTGTAAATAAAGTCGGACAAAGAAGCGTTGCTTAATTGATACCTGTTCATGAGAATATTTAAATTTAGCACGGTGAGAAAAAGCCAGGTAAACGCTGGCATTTTGCATGTTGTTTTTCTGGAAAGAATAGGTTTATCTTACATCATCATAACTACAAGGGGCGTATAGACAAGCATCTTCACAATAAAACGTTTTTTGCTATTTGGTTAGATAACCCTAAGGACAGATTATTATCCTACGAAGATGATAGTAGCTGCACTCAAGTATTATATTACTACAGCATAGAAAACAAGTCACTATATTATCAAGAGAAATCTTTCTCACAATAGCATGTAAACAAGTACTTAATAAGTTTCAATTTACTGCTATAGCAACCACTGAAATCACGCATATGTTGAATATTTCTTATTTCAATACCTACATTAAATTAAAAAAAAAGCAAAATCTCACCTGTTTTTACTTTCCAATTACTGCTTTCAGGAACCACAGGTTTGAGAAGATTATTTATTGCTAGCAGGTAATTTTTATTGTCCAGATTCATTACATGCAATTCTAATGATTTTGTATTAAAGTTACAATATATATTTTCTTGGGGTATTGTATGTACTTTTGGTAATGTAACATAGAACTTGACAAACTTGTCCGATTGATCCCATGCTACAAAGATAATTTCAAATACATTAAGTACTGCACTTAACTAATTAATAAACACACAAAAGACAACTAAAATTATCTGCAGAATTGGAAGACTTCTTTGTAATGTTATATACTATTTTTGTCCTACTTCACAGTTAGTAATTTTGTTTAATTCTGTGATTATGATTAAATGATTTCTAAAAATTGCAAGAGCTTATTAAAGTCTTACCATAATTTGTAATTTTCACTTCATAACATCTGCTTGTACAAATTGGTGTTGACTGTTTTAAACTTGTCCTGATTTCGTTTTCGATTTTAGATAACTCGTCAGAAAGTTTTCTGATTTCTAAAGTTAAAATATCTTTGACTTTCCGGCGCTGAGCTTGGTTATATAGTATTTCTAACTCTGCAATATCCTTTTTCAACTAAAATTGACTTGAATTATATTTGAAACAAAGTAGAATGAATAAAGAATAGTATTAGCATACCTCTTGTATTTTACTCTCCATTTCTGCACGTTTTACACAGTAATTTTAAACTATGAAGAGTGGTACACTGTTAATTACACAAAATGTTAAATTAGAAGGTAGACACTATGCACTACATTCAATAGTTTTGCGCAAACCACAAACTGTAGTTGAACAAATTGCAATTAATAATTTTCTCGTTTAAATCACTTGCAATTTATTTACTGCAAATTATTGCTGCACTAAAACTCATATATTACATAGATTACCGCGAAGAGTATCTTACACCTTTTTGACTAGAGAATTCTGGAATGTTTGCTGTCAGTTTGCTGTCATAGTTCATAAATTAGATAAGGCTCTCACCATAGATTATGCTCTCACGGCTATTGTATCAATAAACTTACTACTTTAACAGCCCTGTTTGAGCGGTAATACACTGTTCTTTCTTTTAAAAACTTAATTTTTTTATAGTGCTAATCTGTTACGTTGAAACAGTATTTACATGCATACATGAAGTATTCGCGGGCATAATTCGCGGTGTATGTTAGGATATGATTAGTACATTCGAACGCAGCCAAAACTAACCTAAAACCTATTGTTTTAGAAAAATATCTATGGATAAAATAATATAAAATGTAAATGATGTAAATATATTTATATGATATTTATATTACTTTATATCGTATCCGTATTTATGAACAAAAAACACATTGCCTATTATTATCCAGATAGTTTTCATAGTTTTAAAACAATGTGAAACAACTGATTGCCCCAACAAATGGCATTGTTTCCTGCTTATGGATTAAATGAAGAAGAATCTGCACGTACAGAAACTTCTGAAGGTTTAGTGTGGTTGGAAAACTCAAGCTTTAAAGCTGATGTCAATGTTTTGAAAAAATCAGAGACTCTACAAGCTGACGATGAGAGGGAAGATAAAGTATCTCTACACAGAAAAAAACAAAAGAAAAAAGAGAAGAAAAATAAAAAAAACAAGGCCAAAGAAACTATTCAACTGCTAGATGACGCTCTACCTAATGATCTTTTCTTAATAGATAAAAAAAGAAACAAAGAATATCTTTCATCGTCTGTACAAAGAATAGCAAGGCCTTCAGCTCCAAAATATATTCTCCGATACAAGTCACACCAAATGTCTAATAAAAATTATAAAAAGAAAATTGTAAGATATTTTCATCATGTGTGTGACGAATTACATAAGATAGCAAATGATAAAAGCAACAGTAGTGAGAATGTTGAATTTGAAGGATACAAAGAAGAACAAGATTTAACCCAAACCACTGCATTTTATAATCGCAGTTTAAGTGATAATCCTCATGATATAAATATGTGGTTAAAATATGTTCGTTTTCAAGACATTGTAAATCATTTTGAAAAGGCATATCGTAAGGGAAGCATAGCAAAAGGTTCCAGAGTATTGGCCGAAAGAAAATTAATAATTTTAGATAAAGCATTGATTCAAAATCCTAACTGTGAGGCATTATTACGAGAGAGGTTAAATATTGCTGCAAGTGTTTTTCCTGCAGATGAATTGTACCTTCAAATGGAAAAACTAATTGAAAAGGAACCACAGAATATTATTCTTTGGCAAGGTTATATAGAGTCATTACAATGTTCCATGTCTCATTGTAATATTTCTGCTGTACTAAAGTTGTATGCTAAATGTTTATCCACATTACATCATTTACGACGTAATTCATTAGTTGAGAAAACAGTTTTAGAAGAAAATATTCTTCGGATGTTATACCAGTGTGGATTATTTTTGAAACAAAGTGGTTTATTTGAACAGCTTTGGTTATTGTTAAGTCTCTATTTGGAATTAAATTTAAGTCCTGAAGACAAGGGAAAGTTCAATATTTCATCAAACATTAATGAGAAAGAATTGGAAGAATTAGAAAATGCAGTTTTATCTTCCCAACTACCGATTCATGAACTTTGGTTGCGGATTGAAAAACTTCGTGAATCTTGCCATTGGTTGCCTTCAAAAGACGAGAATTGTGAAGATCCTCAAAGGATCGTTTTTGCTGAAGATGTTTCTGAGTTTATACACCCAATTACAATGCCTGGAAATACATTCAAACTTACAGCTATAGTTTTAACTCTTTTGAAAGTACCGTTACTTCCTTGTAGACATTCCACTATACAGGAATTGGGTTTGGATTATGTCCCATGGTCGCTTGATTCTATTGAAATGCTACTTCCATTATTTTATCCTATGTATGGTGTTAACTTTAAAAATAAATATTTGTTAAAGGACACACAAAAGCTTGCCATTGGTCCCCAGTATTCAAGAACATTACCTGGGCAGGAGGAATATTTAGAGTTTGTTTTAAATGTAATGAGAAATTGTATGGATTGTTTAAAAGAATATGAAAAAGTAGCCATGGCTCTCTGGTGGTTTAGACTTCAAAGATTGCTTATAATATTAGATAAAGAAGGAAGGTTCAAAATGACTCACGGGTTTAGAAAAAGAATTAAGAATGCTATCAAAAATTTTATTAAAAAAGAAGTAAATAGAAATAATTTATTATTTTACCAAGAATATGCTCTCTTCGAATCAGAATGGGGAACTAATGATGATGCAATTGGTATATTATTAACGGCTCTTTCTTCGAAAAACAATGATCATCTATTAGATTCTATTCAAGACACAGAAGAACAAAGGCATGTCTGTCGATTGTATCGAACGATTATAGAATTAACATTATCAAATGAGAAGGAACCTGAACATGTAAATAAAGTCGTATTGGACTACTTAGTCCACATGTGTCTAGGAAAATCTGCTAATAGTTTATCAGAAACTGATATAAGTGATGCCGCTATTAAATTAAAGCACGCCTATTTGCAGTTATTACAGAAAGTACAAATGCAGGAAGAGGGCAATTTTGGTATTATTGATCATTTTCTCCCAAATTTTTTCATTGATATTGTCATTTGCTACAGTTGGTTTATTTATTTTAAAGAAGGTATAGTAAATTGTGGCGCTTTCTTAGAAGAAACCCTTTCAACATTGGAAAAGTCTGGTAGTAACTTATGGTTACGTGAAGTTTTATTTGAATTTTATGCGGCAATCCTTTATCGGCATTTGTTGTTGCATTTAGGATCTGTGAATTTCAAACTACTTGAGGAACTGTTGCAAAGAGGAATTGAAAGTTACCCCAACAATTTATTTTTGTTGGCGGCATTTTCAAAAGTGCAGAGTTTAAATTGTTGCATAGGGCAACCGTTGTTTAAAACTTCAAAGATTTTATTAAATACTGGAAGGGCTCTTTCGTCAATTATTTTAGTATTGATAACTCAACAAAAAATTGCCGAAATTGAAGCTTCCTGTACAAACACATTTACAGGTATTTATTTATTTAGTTTATTAATTACTGAATTTTATCCTCGATACCATTCGCGTTGATGTCCTACATACGTGTCAAAGATCATCTACGATCACATAAAACTATTTTTTCTATCCCTCGGTAACGGTATTTTTTTTTTCTGGATAAAAGGTACCCTATGTGTTTTTCTGTATTTCTGACAATGTGTCTACAAAATTTCATGACTATCGATTGAGCAGTTCAGGCGTAAAATCGTCCTAAAACTAATGAATACGTTATTCGTCAATAAACAATAAATAAACAGTACGGTAAAAGTTCCTTATTCACGGTTTCCTTAGTCGCGGGTGAAAAAATTGCAACCCAGTTTCTGTATTCACGGCTAAAAATTTCATTATTCGCGGATACAATCGGTAAACAAAAACAAATTCGGTATCATTTATTAAGGGGATTCACTGCAATAGACCGCTCGCGCCTGGTGTGAATTTTTCCGAAAACATAGGTTTCTATTATAAACATTGTCATTTAACGCTGCTCGATTAATATGTGATTTTTTGTATGGTAACAGACAAAGGTTCATACTAACTCGGTTTAGTTTTTAATGATGTGATCGTTAAAACCTTTTACAAGTGCTTAAAGTTGATGCTTCTTGCAAATCTTCTTGTATGACACGTATTTTCAGTAGAAATTAAAAAATGGTCTTCGACAGGCTTTAGAACAAAGCTTTATCTATCTTACTACAAAATTTCAAACCTCTGTTCCAAACATTAAACTCATGATATATGTAGAAACAATAAGCATGTTTTTACTCTACGGCGCGTGTACTACTGAATCCCTTTAATTTATCGGCATCTTTTGAGTATGTACTGTTGGTACGTGCCGAAGCAGCTTTTACAAAAGATGTAACCGATTAAACAGAAAAGGATTCGGTGTTATTTTTCAAAGTATCGGCATCTTTTATAAACGATGTAACCGAGTAGACTAATTTCAAAATTCAAAACAAAAAAAAACACTAAATTTTTTAAACCCTTGCCTAAAGCTTATAAACCTAAATAGGGGTTAATTTTAATTGCGAATTTCTCAATAAATTGATTTTATTCTGATACATATTGGTTTTATTTTGGAGCTGTAGAACGTATCCCTTATGACAAATCAAACTATGATTTCTAACTATCATTACTATTGTTGTAGGTCAGAGCCCCATATTAGAAGACATCTACAAAAATAAAATGCTATCAATTTTTAAACGTTTGACGCTATCCTCAATGTGCACCAGAAGATGTGGTTTGGTATGGAGACTTTACCTTCAGTTCTTGTATTCACATTTTACTCCTGATCTTGTGCGAAACGCTTACTACGCAGCAGTAGAGGAATGTCCTTGGCTTAAGGTACGTTTTCACTTTTTTAGATAAATCATATGACTTTTTACTGACCAGAAATTATTGTTAATTATTATCTACTAAATGTAAGAAAAATAAATTAACAAAAATATTGTTTGTCATTAATGTACATCTCTGTTTTAATGAAAATAACGAATTTTAAAGATCAAAATAAGTTATCAAAAACAGTGATAACTTAGACCTATTAAATTTTAATTAGAATGTAGATGTACCTAATTAATTAACAAATGCCTAAATGTAAGTACCAAATTTTTAATTATTTTGAAACCATAAAAAATTGTTTAACAGAAAACTAGAGATACCCGATGCCGAATTACGCTCAATTTTTCAAAATATCCCTATACTTTTAGTCAGTGGGCAATACCGCGTTGGCAGGTGCAAGTTCGGCCGGTGCACCGACGCATTGTTTTTGACTGCTACACTACATTAAAATAATTAGTATAATTTCATTTTGTCCCATTAATAATATCCTGAGGTAAATAGAAACAAAAATTAATAGCTTTTATTTTTCTCTGAACTATGTCGGAAATATATAATAATATTTTATAT